TATACTTTTAAGTTGGCAAAAAACTTCCGACGGAGATAACTTAGAACTGTATTAGTAGCAACATTTGCATACACAAATATCAAGGTTAGAATACATTTGCACATATAAATATCAAGGTTAGAATAACAATATATATAGAGGTCCGCATTGTGAAAACGATCATTATAGTATTTTAATTTGTATCTTGCATACTAAATTTGAACCCGGCCCGTTGGCCGGATGCATTTTGTAAATGGTTTAACAACAATTGTACTGTTGAAAGTGAGATACATTTGGTATTAAAAAATAATCAAAAAATTATTCAATTATTAGAAACATAAGAAAAGAATATATATAGAAGAAAGTATAAAATTATTCATGCAAAAATTTAATGATAAAATATTTCTAAATATGAAATATCATTTCCACGCAAGTAAAATTTACGTCGTCCAAGTCTTGAACATTGTCCCATATTTGCTCATTCCTCTTATCTTCAAAATTGTGTACTCTCTTATGGTTTACCTTATTTTAATAAATGAGTTTGATGTTGAATTAAGTTCAAATTCTTTATTTCACTTTTTTTAACCGATTTGTATCTTCTTTATTTTTAACTGGGATTGTAAGTTTTTTTACACATATAAGACGGGTTCATTGCGACCTCCAAAATTATATTTTTAAACTTTTTCACAGCATTCATCACCACCTTCATTTTAATTCAAATCTTTAAAAAGTTTTCACAGAAGGAACGGGTTCATCATGATCTATTGTGATCTACAAAATTATGGAAAAAAAACTTTATAGAACCAAATATATAGTTATATACCACCCTTTATAAGGTGGTAAGTGATGGAAGATGATAGTGAAAGGTGATAAATGCTTATTAATATATTTCTAGTATCACATATACAACAATTCTACACTAAAATCTATTTATACCACCATCATACACTTTCATATCACACAATGATATAATTTTATGTACTTATAAGTATTACCGCCATGGTATAGAAAATATTTTTTGTCCAAAATATATAAAAGTGAATATCATTTTGAAGAGAACAATTAATCTAAATTTCAAATGAAAAATTATTTTTAATTTAAAATGAAACCACTATTCCATTAAATTTAATAGGATAAAGATGCATGCCAAGCAGAAAGAAGCAATTTTCAATTCGGTCACTAAAAACCCTAAAAATCAAGTGATAACTAAAAAGAATTTGATATTGAATAAAATACTTAACCTTTATAACAAAAAATAGCTAATTATAAATTGTCTAGTCTATAAACCGTTGACTAATTAAAAAGAATTTGATTTAGAATAAAACACTTAACCTTTATAATAAAATAAAAAGCTAATAGTCTCGTGTATAATTAAAAAAAATATGAATTTGTCAGCCGATTATTAGGGTAGAGTTTAAATTTGTATCCTCGACAAATAATCTAATTTTTTTGTTTTTAATTAAAATTACAATACTATCCTTCCTAGAATCACTCAGAAAGCTAGAAATTCTGAATGGAGAGTGTTCTGGTGGAGAACCTCCATATATAAGTGGGAGGAGGAGGATGCCTAGGCTATCATATGTTTCTTACTAAGCTTTCACACGTATATTATCAGCAATAATAGTTTTTTTATGACTCATCAACATTTTTTTTTCAAAGATATTCCCAAAATGGAATAGCTAGATACGAATTGGAACCCTTTTCAGACAACCGTAATAATATACGAAAAAGAAAGGGACGACGATCGACCATTCGCCAAATCATCGATAAGAGAGCCTTTTTCGCCACGCGACGGACAATTCTTTAATACCTTTACGACATGGTGAATATCCATGATTTCTACCCTATAAAGTATAAATCATGAAACCAACCACGCTTCAAAATGAAGCAGAGAAGCAAGTCCTTCACCAATGATGTAGGGTTACACGCGTCCGATACAAACACTCCAACATGTACCTGCATAAACTGAACAAACAAACGAGAAGCCACATCCAAATAGGCTTGTGAAAGAAGGCGAACCGATATAAGAGGAGATGGAACCTCCAGCGCAAACGATGCAAACTTTGTCGTCCTTCAAAAGCTACAGAATCCACTTTAGCCTGCAAAAATGAACAAAACATACAGCCACTACTAAGCCTCCGCCTCTCCACGACGTTTAGAGAAAACCAAGCAACCACAAAGCGTGGCCTAGGTGTATGTATTGCCATCATAATACAAGGCCAACAAAAATTCAATTGCAAACTGAAAGCACCAACACTTACAAGTAAAACCAACAACTGAGGCGCCAAACTAAAGTGAAGTGCAGGTCTGGCCCAAACAAGTAACGGAATGAAATACTGACTTAAAGCCCAATCGAGCTACTGACTAATAAAGGGATAGTCAATAGTGAGACAGTAAATATAATTATGCACAAGTTACCGCTCACGGGATAGGGATAAGGATAAGAGTGAAGAGCCAACATGCGGTCACCTATTTGGAAACTTAAAGACAACAAGGCAGCAGCAGGCAGAATACCGCACACGTGCCATCACGCGCGATGCTGACAACGGTACAGGAGCCGATGCCGCGCGCGCAGAGCTGCTCTTGGCGCCGAAAACTTATCTCACATAGTCTTGGTTGTGATCTTGTTAGGCGAGCTGGGCAGAGGAGAGGGTAATCGGAAACCGTACGTCGCTAGTGGTGGAGATGAAGTCAGTAGGCTACCCAATTCCTCAACACGGCGGCGGATGGAGCAGCACGGTGGTTGCATTTGTAAAAAAAAAAAAAAAAGCACGGTGGTCGCTCTGCCTCTCCTCCTTTTCCCAACAAAAGAGGGAACGTCGTTTTCGGCGACGGAATCCAAGGATGGAAAAGATGGAGCTCAAATCTATAACCCTGCCTCCTGCGAGGATTGAGAGAAAGAAAATGAGAAGAGATGAATGATTAATCCCTAAAAATATTTACAAATAAGGTTAATTAGTATTTAGTGGGAACAATAATCCAAATCATATATCAAACAACAAACTAATAAGCTGAATAAAATCAAAAGGATAAAGAACGGCGGCGAATCCGAGTGGCGGCAGCGATTCGTTTACTCGTAAACTAGAGGCCCTTCCATAGGGCTTGGGTTACAATTAGGGGTGGGCAATGGGTTGGTCCACACCGGATCGAATCGATGTTTGGATCGGATCACATCGGATCGATATAATATGGTCCGGTCCTTGGTCCCATGAATTTTATATTTACTGAAGAAAAATAGACCGAACCTACATTTGGACCGGACCAAAGCAGACCAAACGGACCGATACACTAGTGGTCTGGTCCTTGGTCCTAACTTATCTTTCACTATTGGACCGCTATTCTTTGAATTTGATCCGATTCGGTCCGGACCGGACCGATGCCCACCCCTAATTATAATCATCCTTTCAGACTATTTGGATGCCAAAGAATTAATAATTTATTTAATTTAAAAATTAATTATAGTGCATATAATTCATTTTCAAATGTCTTTAAATGTTTCAACTTTATATTGAAATAGTTGCAAATTAATTGAATTGAGTTCTCAAATCAGGTTTGGAACCCATTATAATTAAATCAACTAATCTTTGAAATATCATTCAAGTTGATAACTAAATTTCTTAGAATCATAGAGTTTCAAACTATGCAATACTGTCAGTGTTCAGCTTATTTAATTAACAACAATTTTAATCTGATTATCAATACCATATATTAGCGCTTTGCGCCTTATCATCATAAATAAGGGGAAAGAGCCACATGAGGATCACAAAAAAGGTTGTGCAATGTAAGAGGAAAACTATGTTTATATCATGGTTCAAAAAGTCACGCTTAATTTTACGTTTAGACACGCCTAGGCACAAGGCAAGTGCAAAACGCCTAGTCTAGTGGTTTCGCGCCTGGTTAGATAATGGAACGAGTCAATAGAGTAATGCGATATCTAAGTCTCTCCTAAGCATAACTAGATGGAGTAAGGAAGTCAATATTAAAAGGGGAAATTAAAGTCAACTGTGAAATCAATTTTATATATTAATATTTTCAATAGTCAAGCACTTTGTGAGCTATTGAGCTATGATTCTATGAATTCGTGAGCTAAGTTATTGTCATTAAGTGTTGAGTAAGTTATTAATCATTTTAACTGAGGTGAGGAAGTGTTGTAGATTATTATTTCATTAATCATCCAGTGCAAATAACTATTTTTAATCCAACGCCTAGCACGCTTAGTCTACGCCTAAGGAAGTTAGGCGCTAGGCAAAGCCTCCACGTCTGTCTTACGTCTAGCGCTTTCTTGAACCTTATATACTAGATTAAGGGGCGGGAAGGCAAGGTAAAAAAATCACCCTTGGCTCACATATAAGATAGGTCATAGGTAGATGAAAATTTAATTAACAATTGAGGATAATTATATGATTTTATTATAATTAGTAAAATACTAATAAAATTCATTTGAAAATACAAACTCTGCTCGACGAAATTAGTACAAAAAAATATGGTAATAGCAGAATTAAGAGGAAGAGGAAGAGTGGATGCACTGGATGCGGGCCATAAGATGGCTGGCTTGTTGAAATTCCGCCCCACAAAACCCACATGAAATGTTTTCAGTCTGTTATATAGAACTGTATTAGGAGGAACATTTGTATATATAAATATCTAGGTTAGAATAATATATGTGAATATCTAGCTAGGTCGGTATTGTGAAAACGATAATTATACTATTATATTTTTGCATATGTACCATCTGTTTTTTACTGAGCTTTCACGTATGTTATCAGCTTTAATTTTTTTTTTTTTTTTTTTTGTATATACTTGAATACAATGTTTCCCATGCGTACACAGTACAGCTCTACCCAAGTTGACATTGGCGCCACGTTGTGAACCCAAATTTCTGAGGCCAGACCTCAGCTATATAAACCTCGTCATTCCCTCCTAATGTTTCACTCACCAAAAGAAGAGCAAAGATTAATTACTACACTAATAGGAATTAATTGATCTTAATTTCCTTACCCAGCAAACCCTTGCCTCATCTTAGTGACTCAAACCCAGAAGATCGACTAATGTCCAACTGGAAGAAGTTGAGCGGCGAGGAGCACTGGGATGGGCTGTTGGACCCACTGGACGCCGACTTCCGGCGGTACCTCATCCACTACGGAGAGCGGCTGCAGTCTGTGTACGACGCCTTCAACGGGGAAACCATGTCCAAGGCCTACGGATTCAGCCTGTACCCACCGGAAAACTTCTTCACCGACGTCTTCCTCCAGAACGCGAATCCGTACAAGTACCAGATCACCAAGTTCCTCTACGCCACCTCGGAGTTCACGCTGGGCGACTGGGTCGTCGCCGGACAGTCTGCGTGGCTGGGGTACGTGGCGGTGAGCACGGAGGAAGGGAAGTCGGTTTTGGGGAGGAGGGACATCCTGGTCTGCTGGAGGGGCACTCTCACCAGCATGGAGTGGTTCCAGGATGCGAATTTCCCAGCTGTTCCGGTCGGCCAAGTTTATGGGACTACCCATAATCCCAAGGCCCATCAAGGGTTCTTTAGCGTTTATGCTCATAAGAACCCCGATTCTATCTACAACAAGAACAGCGCCCGGGAACAGGTAAGTCAAACGTTGGTGTACGTGCAATGGTTTGTCTTGAATCGGACCAAATCAACAACCGGATTTGACCCTCAAATCAAATACAACGTGGTTGGGTTTTCTGGTCGCGAATTTTATACCGTCTTATATATTATTCCATATGTTTTGATCCACAGGTCTTGGCAGAGGTGAGAGCACTAGTGGACCAATATCGCGATGAGGAAACGAGCATAACCGTGGTGGGCCACAGCTTGGGCGCCTCGCTTGCAACCCTAAACGCTGCCGACATCGTGGCCAACAACTACCACAAACCAACTGGTTCGACTGCTGGCTGCTTGGTCACGGCCTTTGTCTATGCAAGCCCACTCGTTGGGGATTGGGGCTTCTACAACATGTTCAACGCTCTGACGGACCTGCGACTCCTCCGGATCAGGAACCTCCCCGACCCCGTCCCTAACCTCCCACCCAAGCTACTCGGTTTCTTTGAGGTAGGGAAGGAGCTTCAAATCTTGGTTTCATCCTCTTACTTGAAGGTACTTCTCAACCCCCACAGCCTGGAGCTCTATATGCATGGAGTAGCGGGATACAATGGAATCGAACCCTTTAAGTTCGTAGCGCAGCGAGATATTGCATTGCTGAACAAAGAAGACGATCATCTCAAAGAAGAGTACAATGTGCCACCAAAATGGAGAAGCATGAGGAACAAGGCTATGTATCAGTCGGACGATGGGTCGTGGAAGTTGCATGACTACATGCCTCCTCCTCCGGAAACTGTTGTCCTTCTGTGACTTCTCATTCGATCTGGATGGCACGTTGAAGTAAAGGACGAGCATAACTACATCCTCCTAATCCCTCATGGAGAGGGTTCTTCAAGTAATAATTGGATGAGGTTATTTAGTAAAGTAATTTGGATTGTGGTACTCGATAGATTAGCTGGCATAGAAAAAACGGAATAAATTTGTAGCCAAGTTTGAACCGGGTTGTGTGGACGAAAACATGAACACAAAATTTTAATAATGTTGTTGTTGTCGAAGTGTGTCATTTTGGTCATTTACGTTTTTATTCCTTTAATTTTGTTTTGTGTCAAATTAATCCAAATCGAGTTTCAAGGATAGTTGGAGTTTGGAAGTCAAGCCTGTTAGTTTGTTAGCTGGAATAACTATCTATGTCTTTTTACTTTGAACCCATCTGTTAGTTTGGAAGTCAAGCCTGAACGCCGGGTTTGTAGGTTGAAGCTCTGTATTTAGTATTCCAAACTTTCATTAAATATAATTTTTACCAGATTTTCCAAAATCATGTTAACATTATGGTATCGGAGCACACTGCAAACTATAACAAAGCCTGATTATGTGATTATTAAGAGTGAAACATATGTAATTCTGATTGAAGATTTGCATTAAAGAAGACACATGAGTGAATAGTAATGACATTACACACGGAGGTGAGGTGAAACCTCAAAACATAAAGTGTAAATGCTGTAATGTTTTAGAAAATAGTAAGATGAGTGAGAATAACAGATGGGTTCAAACTAATATCACTAGAGGCTCATGATGGAGCACCTGTCGAGGTCAATGGAGTAATGGGGAGTAGTACACAATGGGTTCAAACTTCAAAGAGTCTACTGAGGTGAACTACTCATTGAGGCTCAAAAGGAAACTCTAAGAGATCATGGATCGTCCCCAAAAGGCCTCGTTCTAATTGGGCTTGGGAGACACTAATATACAAGGGTACATTCCCTTGTATTACCGATGTGGTACTTGGATTGTCACATAACAACGCTAGAGATTAAAAGGCAAAATAGGAGGAGCAGACTCGGTGCGCACACAAGCTTAGACACTATTATATTTACCATTTCCCTTGCGTTTAGACTTATAATCGAGAGAGTAGCCATATAGCATACATCCTCTGTGTGCCTTGTGTAGCCACAAAAAGGTGCACAATGGTTCTTGTTTCCTTATTGTTTAGAACTATTTACAACATCTCTTACCCCGAAATCTACTGGTGCCATAGTTGAAGGCCATACCATAACTGTTTGCATTAGTGGTAGAGGACTAATTAGGATTAGATAGCAATCCACTTGACCTTTATTGTTGTATCATCATAGAAAGCACCTAGTTCATATGTGGAATTGGTCCCAGTAGCATCACTTAAGAATGAGGACCATTGAAATTATCAATGAGATTGCACGAAAATCTAATGACCATATCCTTCATGTGATTCTTCCTAAGGGGAGATAGAATGCAGGTTCAGTTTGAACCATAATCATAGGTAGAAATTGATGAAAAAAATAAAATAAATGGTCTCAAAGAGCCATCTATCGAGAATAGTACTAAGAGACACTCTGAGTGCCCTCCTTGAGTGTGAAGATGGCTTCATGCAGATTTGCAATACGAAATGAATCCCTCTCAAAGAATTATTCGCAAAGCTCTTTCCAGATATTATTAGCGTTGCTGATGTAAATAAGACTATTGGCAATCAGATTTACCGATCTTTGTACCCAATTGAGGAGAAATTTTTTATTCTTATCCCAATTGGAAAACTAGACAATTGAATTAGGTGATGGCTTAGGGATTCGTCCATCAAGAAATATCCCCCTCCAAAACTAAATAAAAAGAATTATAAATTCAAAATTAATAATTATGGGAGAAGAAAATTCCGACTAGTATTCAATAAAATAAAAATATTCATTTAGTAAAAGTTACAACAAATGCCCTGATGACACGTAAAACTATATATTCTAAACCCCCCATGTTATCATCAAAAGTGCGTACAATTCTCACCAATATCGTCATAATGCATTGAATTATTGTCGTGGTTGCTTTAAGTGCGTTTCAACAGCCCTAAGATTGTTCTTATACATATGATGCGCTTCCGGGTAACATTTTGTGCATTTTCAGGTTTGATAAGCCTAGTGGGCCACTTGGAAGCATAAGGGGACACCGAGCCCAAGTTGTTGGATCAAGAATTTGAGGATCGGAATGGCGCCATTTTGCTGGAGTCAACCACTTTGTTAGTAAGTTGTCTAGAAGCAACATGATTCGTTGGCCATGTAATTGGAGGGCTTCTGATTGCCTGAATGACGCACTAGGCGCGATTTTCTCTTATTGTAAAGTCTAATGGTCAAGGAATGGTCATTACTCTGCCGACAAAGCAACGCTCCTGACTTACAACAAAACAACCATCAAGGGGAAATAGGCAGCAAAATCGGTGCCACTGGGCCGTTTTCTTTGATATAGCCGCCAATATCTTTTGTTGCATAGGTACGTGAACCCTTGGAGTTCTAGCGATATGTAAACTCAATGTTTGTTTTAATACAATTGTTCTTGTTCTTATACGTTGATGTTTGATTTCCTGTATATCGTTATTTGTTGATTCAAATGAATGCTTAGTCAATCTTGCACACCTTCAAAGTGCAAGACTCGAAATCCTAATCGTATAGGTGGGACTAGAACTAGTAGTCCTATTCGATTGAACGTCATTCAATCAAACGGTGTGTCGCCTCAATGAAGAAATTCGAAGGGATCTTGTCGCCCATTGGATAAATGCTTAGACACAAGGTGGGATCTAACGATGTAAGAAATTGACAACTTGTATGCTTCGATCATCGAGCGCTCGTGATTGGGAGACCTAGGGAGATCGATGCCTATGCAGTGCCTTCCTTTCATGCTCGCTTACAATCTCCAGTAGCATAGATTTACATTTCTACACCTGTTTTCCATTTCAAACGCCTGAGTTCTGTTAAACAGAAGAAACATCAACCTCCTAAACCGACCTCTTCTTCAATATAACCATACCTCGCTTCCGTAGTAAGGATTCTACAAGAGGCCCGAGAGGGCCAGGTAAATTTGGTCTAACTACACAACAGATCATGCCCACGGCGTGTTTTCGTATTCCAAAAAAGCAGCAAATCAAGTTCAAAAAGAATTAAACAACTACTTACTTGAGATATGCTGATACTTTTGGACAGTTATCCTCACAGTTGAAGATGACATATCGTCGAGCTAGGTCCATGGTACTATTTTCCAATTCAACAATCTTACCCTTCCCATTTCTTTTTGATACAATTGGTCGGCCAATAATTGGGAATAAAGCTTTTGCATTTTCCCTCACACCCATCCCTTCGTGATTTCTTGAAGGCCTAGTGAATCTTGTATCACCATCCTCACTAAAATACCTTGAGCAGAATGATAGACATTCATTAGCTAGATACACTTCAGCTATGCACGTTTCTGGTTGACTTCTATTTTTAACATAGTCTTTCAAAACACCCAAAAACCTCTCGATCGGGTACATCCATCAAGTTTGCACGGGCCGACCAAGTCTAATCTCCTCTACCAAGTGAATAGGTAGATGAACCATTATATCAAAGAAGCTAGGAGGAAATATCCGTTCTAATTGGCACAATGTCTCGACAATCTCAGTTTGCAAGTGAGATATATTAGATGCACCATTCGACAAACAGCCTTGAAGAATGAAACAAGTCTGATCAATACGATAGCCACATTCTTTGGAAAAGTTCTACGTACGACAACTTGGAGCAAGTATTGCATGATAAAGTGAGCATCGTGACTCTTGTACCCCTAAGATTTTCTTCTCCTTCACATTCCTACAGTGAGATATATTAGATGCACAACCATCTAGTACTTTAGCGCCTTTTAAGACCCCACAAAAAATCTCCTTTTCATGGTTAACCATTGTATAACAAGCTTTCACCAACTTACTCTTCTTAGGATTTTCTAATACTGTTGGATGAAGGCTCTATCTAAGTTCCATATCCTTTAAATCTAGACGAGCATTTAAATGATCCTTGGTCTTCCCCGAAATGTCTAACAACGTTCCCAAAATATTGTCACATACATTCTTCTCTATATGCATAACATCAAGGTTAAGACGTAGTGTATTATGCTCCCACTAAGACAATTCAAAGAAAATAGACAACTTCGAGAACACACCTCTTTTCTCAATTATCTTCTTTTCTTCCTCGCCGAAGTCACAAATGAATCCAATCAACTCTTCCTTAATCTGCGAACCGGATAATGGTTCCGGCTTCAGTCTGAACTCCATTTTCCCATCAAAAGAGCTTTTGTCTTTCCTCCAACTGTGTTTCACATCAAGAAATCTGTGTGCGCCCATGTAACATATTTTTCGACTCTTATATAAGTACTGAGAGCATGTGTCTTAATTACAACTAGGACAAGCAACGTATCCTTTTGTGCTCCAACGGTTGGACAGCATGGCCAATCCTGGGAAGTCACTGATACTCCACATTAAACAACCATGCATATTGAACATTTGCTTACTATGAGCATCATATGTCACGACTCCTTCATGCCATAAGGTGTTCAACTCATCAACAAAAGGTCGTAAGTACACATCAATATCATTCCCAGGTGATTTTGGCCCCGGGATAAGTGAGGAGAAAATCAAGTACTCTGGCTTAATGGACATCCATGGAGGTAAGTTATAAATGGCAACTATCAGAAGCCATGTGCTATGAGAACTGGTCATAGTTCTGAATGGATTGAACCCATCTACAGCAATGCTGAACCTGATGTTCCTACAATCAGATGCAAACTCAGGATGTAACTTATCAAAGTTTCCAAGCATGACCATCTGCAGGATGTCTAAGTTTGCGATCATTCACACGCTTCTCATCGTGGCATCTCATAAATTCAGCCGTCTTGGAGGACATGAACAACCTCTGGAGTCTCGGTATTAAGAGAAAATAACAAAAAATCTTGGCTGCAATTTTTCTCTTGGGACTAGTGTCATCTTCACTGCTATCCCCCTGACTATCAAC